TTTGCCGTTCACAAATGTGCCCCCCACCCATAAATAAATAAATGTACAAGTAAAAAACTGTAACTGGAAACCAAGCATGGTGGTGCACGCCTGCCCTCCATGTAAGCTAATGTCACACATATCAGTGTTAGTTGGCTTTGGTTGTGTGCACCCATGCACACTAATTTAGAGACAGGGTTTCGCTATATAGTCTGTACTGACTTTGAACTCTTGGCAACCCTCCTTGCCTTAGTGTCCTAATTGGTGGGATTACAGGTGTGTACCGCCATGCCCCGCTAATTCCAGTTTTTTTCATCAGTCAAGGACATATTAGGCTATAATGTAGCAAGACCTGAGTTCCCAAAATGAAACAGTTGCCTCGACAGTGCACCCCTTCCTCCAGGGGAAGGGGCCCACAGGACTGCTGGTTGCTACTCCACAATCATCAGGCTGCTGTGGCCCACCCCCATTCCTCATCTGCGGGACTGCTGTGTGGAAGCATGATATATATATAATGTCAGTCACACTGGTAGAGAAATTTTATTTTATTTTTTTCCTTTGAGGGAAGGTGTAGTAAGGGTGTCCTACCTGCAGGAGAGATGTGAGTTGAGTAATTATCTACCAGGAAGACCACTAGTGGTAGTCATTGTAGTCTCAAATATTCCTGCATTCCTTTGTTTGTTTGTTTGTTTGTTTGTTTTGAGACAGAGTCTCACTGCGTGGTCCAGAGTGGACTCAAACTTAAGAAATCTCGCCTCAGCCTCTTCACTGGGATTACAGGTGACTGTGACCATTCCTGGCTGGAAGCTCACTCCTGACCCCTTGTGGTTGAATGAGGCCATATAAGTAATTCTGCTCAATGAGTGCTGAGTAGAAGCAGCACATGTGTTCTACATGTAAAGACTGACTTCCATAGTGGAAGCTCCCCACCCCACGCCCTCCCCCGTGCTTCAGGAACTAGAATTGATATGTATGGAACCTCTCCGTTGGTTTATGCCCTGTAGTGAAGATGCCACAGAGAAAAGCCTCATTTGACCCCTGGAGAAAGGGAAACCAGCGTTTACTGTGTGAAGCTGTAGAGATTGGGGGAGGGGGACGTAAGGACAGCCTTGCTACTGCAATGTAGCAGCCTAGCTGGACCAACACATTGCACACAGAACCTATGGAATTCTGACCTCATCCTCACTGACCTCCTCCAATGACGCATAAGATGTTAGAGGGGAAAACAGGTTTAAAAAAAAAATCTCATATAATAACTCTGTGACAGAAATATTTATATAGGACAGAGACACAGGAAGCTATTGGAGGTGGGTGTTAATGAAGAGCCTCTTCTGATTTTTTTCCCTGTAGTTTCATGTGTGTGATAAATGAGTGTATCTGTGTGTGTGTGTGTGTTCTTGTGTGGGGTGTGGACATGCACATGCCTTGTATGGTCAGAGGACCATCTCACAATGCAGTCTTGTCTGTGTAGCTCATGCAGGCCATGCATTTCGATCCCCTTGCCTCTGCTTCTTGAGTAGTAGGGTTACAAGCGTGCACTGGGACCAGCTAAAATGAAGAGATTTGGGGGCCTGCTGAGTTTGGGAAGAACGTCTCAGTGGTAGGAACACATGAGCAAAGATATGGCAATGAGCCAAGGCACAGTACGTGTAGAAAACTCCAACCACTGAGTTTTAAATCTGTTAACTGGAGGTCTGAACTATTGCCATCGAGTGGATGCTGGGGAAGAAGGGAATATTGTGCCATATTCAATAGAACAGCTGGGGTGGGGGGAGAAAAAAATTATTTTCAAATTAACCTGATCAGGTCCATAAAACTTCAACATTTAGAATAGCGTGAGGCTGGCCCATGAACAGACAGTTCAGATAAGCCCTGGGGGGCTGGGGAGTGGTTCAGTGGGTAAAGGTTCTTTACCCAGCAAGTCTGACCACCCAAATTCTGATCCCAAACACATACACACGCCCAGAGCAGTAGTAGGTGCCTCTGCGATCCCAAGGCCCAGGAGAACTGAAAGAAGCTGGCTGGCCTGCCTGACCTGGGGTACACAGTTCCAAGAGACCTGGTCTCAGGGTGAAAGTGTAAGGACCAACACCCGAGAGCTGTCCTCTGAGCCCCACAGATGCCATGTGCACAGCTACACCTCGTACACGGAAACACACACAGACACACTCACTTACCACACACTCGCAACCACAGAAATGAACAGAAGAAAAGGAGAAAGAAAGGAATGCAGGGGGGAAAGAAGATGTCTGAAGTTGGGTCATAGGCGTTTTCACTGCAATGAAGGTGCCACTGATTTCAGAAGTCTCCAGAAGGGGACTGGCAAAATGACTCTGAGGGTAAAGGTACCACTGCAGAGCCTGGCAGACTTGTGTGCAATCCCCAGGAACTACAGGGAAGAGGAGAACCCCCAAATTGTCTTCCGACATCTACAAGCATGCCATGGTGCATATGTGCTCCAACAGAAAACATGCTTTTTAAAAACTGCCCACCCTGTTTAATGAGGCAATAAGCCCATTCCAACCCCCACGAGCATTTTTTGGTTCCTTCCAATTCATTCTTTTATTTCTATAGAACGTTCCAGCACACTCTGTAGTTTTTTTTATTTCTATCTGAATCCCATTGCAAAAAGCTTTTAGGGCCAGAAATGGTAGTGCACATCTTTAATCCCAGCACTCAGCAGAGGCAGGCAGATCTCTGTGAGTTCAAAGCCAGCCTGGTCTACATAGTGAATTCCAGGACAGCCAGGGCTACACAGTGAGACTCTATCTCAAACAAACAAAAACAGAAGTAAATAAATAGTGAGAGTCTGTCTGCGTGGTTGAATACTTGCCTAGCAAGTGCAAGGCTCTGAGTATAGTCCTCAGTACTGAAACAACAGCTCTTGTTTTGTTAATTAATGTATCCCAAGCATCCAGAATACTGTCTAGTACGTAGTAGGTGCTCACTAAATATTTGTTGAATGAACAAATCTCACCTTAGTGATGAAAAGATGTACTATAAATCGGATGGTCTCTTTAGCTTTATGGCAATATAAAAATTTATGTGGTGTGCGTGTGTGTGTTATATGCATCTTGATGCTGAATCCAGGAACATAGTACGTTTCTCTTTTTGTGGTTAAGAAGGAATTGTGTGTCTATTCGTGACTAGCAGTGGTTCCTTCTCTTCTCTTTCTTTCTGTTGCAAGAAAGGAGGTAGTTTATTATAGGAGAGAAAGGGGAGAAGATAAGTGTGCCAGGCCAGAGAGCAAGAAGAGAGAGAAGGGCTGAAGCGAGGTGCCGTGACCTCCTCTGGGTCTCTAACATAGCACCCCCCTCCCCTAAGTTCCTGTAACACTGGCTTTTCAGAGCATGTTCCCTGAATGGAGCTCAGGTACACTAAGGGCTGCCTGTGCTTTTTGGTTTTGTTTTGAGACATAACCTCACTGTGTAGTACAGGTTACTCTCAAATAAGTAGCCCAGGCTGGCCACAAACCCACGGCAATCCTCCTGTCTGAGCTTCCTAGGTGCTGAGATCACAGGAGTGAGCCACCACTCTGTAGTCCATGGCTAAAACTCATCCTTTTTAACAAGTTGTTTTTTTTTTACTAAATTCCTAACACACCCCGTCCAGACATTTTACGATTTCTTTGATGAAGTGTTATTTTTAAAGTGTGTTTATTGGCGAGATGCAGTGGCCGATAAATATATGCCTTTAGTCCAAGCCTTTGGGAGGCAGAGGTCGGTAGGTGGCTGTGAGTTTGAGGCCAGCCTGATCTACTCAGGTCCAGGGCAGCTAGGGCTACCTAGTGAGACCCTGTCTCACTAAGATGATGAAAAGAAAAGAATTTATAAATATTTTGAAGTCTCCTCCCCCCAAAAAAAGTTTTTCTAGGGTTCACAGCAGCATGGTTGGAAAAAAAAGAGAGTAGTATGGCCCTGACAGAATCATGAAATGGTCTGTATTTTTTCATTAAGCTTTTCTAAATGAGATCTAAGCTGGCCTCAAACTCCTGGGTTCAACCAATCCTCCTGCCTCAGCCTCCCAAGTACTTGACACCACAGGGGCACACTTCCCACCCAGCTCTTTCGGTGGCCATTTTGAGCTGGCTTCAACGGACACACTGCCAAGCCATTGCCTCTTCCTTTGTTCACTCTTTATAACTAAACAAGAACCTGGTTATTGTTATTCTTTTAAATCTCACTTTCCCCATAAGAAGGGGTAGAGGAAATTAATTCCCTTTCTCCCACCCTTCCATTCTCCTGGGCAGGTCAGAGCCCGACTTTATTTTTTAATCACATTTAGTTATTTTTCTTGTGTGTGTGTGTGTGTGTGTGTGTGTGTGTGTGTGTGTGTGTGTGTGTGGGTGCGTGCGTGCGTGCGTGCGTGCGTGTGTGTGTGTGTGTGTGTGTGTGTGTGTGTGTGTGTGGACACCTGCAGGAAACTGTGCACACGGAGGTCAGAGGACAACGTGACAGAGCCAGTTCTCTCCTTCCATCCTGTAGCTCTCAGGGATCAAATGCTGATCCTCAGGCTTGGCGGCAGACCCTCTTACCTGCCGAGCCCTCCTGCAGGTCCCCAAAGCCTGACTTTGGGTAAACACTTTGAACTTACAAAGAGTTCTTGTGTGTAGCTTCCAGTGATGAGAGAGGATCAAAGCCTGCGATTTTCCCAGAGACCTTCATTGGGGGGGCCTGGCAAACTCTTAGGAAGGTCATTCTCCTCCTGCTTGGGGTAAGGGCGAATGTTTAGAACCTGGGGTTTTTCTGCTGGTTTGCAGTCACCGCACGGTCCTGTACACCCTGTTCCGGCCCCCTTCTCCCTTTCCCTGTTGTTAGCCAGCCATCACATTCCTTGATGTCATTCCTGCCATTGTGAGCCGACAGGCCCTCAGGGCTCTGGTGGTCATGGTCAACCATAAGCAAGCAGGGAACTGGAGCTGGGGAGGTCGGGGGAGCAGAGGCCCCACCACCACCTTGGAGTTGGGCTGGGTCTGTGTGGAGCCCCAGAGATGTTCCCCAGCCCATCCTTTTTAAGAACCAATGAGTAAAATCAGGGGCCTCCCTCCTGCCGTCAGGGACCCGGGCCCTGGAGTGGAACTTGGAGTAGAAGATGGCCTTCTCTGTCAACTAATTCATTCTCCAGAGTTCAACTTGTTCTCTGACTCAGTGGTGTTTGAAAGCACCTTTATCCAGGTACGGTCGAGCATCCCAGGGGTGAGAGTCTTCCCCTTTCCACGGCCTGTTCTCACGGGTTAGTGAGAAGATGGACACCGACAGTCCTGGGGGCAGAGGGTGGGTGGAGGAGGCACCAAAGCCAGAATAAACCAGAGGGTCTAGGTCCCAAGGTCACTTCCCTTTGTGCCTGTAGTGTGAGGGAATTCCCTGTAGACTATGCAAAGAGTTAAGTAGTGCTCTGGTACAAAAAAAGAAGGTTGTTTGTTTGTTTGGGGGTTTGTTGTTGTTGCAGTTGTTGTTCATTTGTTTCGAGAGAGCGTTTCACTGTGTAGCCTTGGCTGGCCTAAAGCCATGAAGACCAGGCTGGCCTCAAACTCATGGAGATCCTCCAGCCTCTGTCTCCTGAGTGCTGGGATTAAAGGTGTATGTCACTATACCCAACTTAAGTCTCTTTTTAAAAGTTTTTTTTTTTAAAGATTTATTTAATTTTTAATTGTGTGTATCTGTACACATGAGAGCAGTGCCCTGGGAGGTCAGGAGAGGACTTCAGATCCCCTGGAGCCTGAGTTGCAGGTGCTTGTAAACTGCCTGACTGGGAGGCTGGAAACTGAGCTCCAGGTTCCCTGAAAGAACAATAAACATTCTTAATGGCCAAGCTGCTTCTTTATCCCTGAAAGGAGCCTCATGATATACAGGGAGCTCCATTCAACCATTATCAATGGTAACTGTCTAAGCAAGCTCTAGCTAAGACCATTTGGATCAGCAATGCATGATCACAGACACCCAGGACATTCTTTCTGGACTCTGGCAGTTGAAAATGGTGTGCCAGACAGCAGGGGTTCCTTAGCCACTCTTTGTGGGTATTGCTGAGGTTTTGGTAAGAAAAAGAGCTGGCAGAGGGCCTTAAAGTACCCAGCTTAAGGTGGAGAGACTGGGTGGAATCAAGGATCTGATGTCAGGAACCCACCAAAATGAAGTGGAAAAAAGCCGGGGAACTGTGGAGGAGAAGGTGGGTACCTTTCCAGGTGGGTCTGGGAATCAAATCTGAGGCTCTCACAGCAATGAGCTACTGCCCAGCATGGTCTGTTTGGGGAAACTATGTTCAGGGTTCCTGATACTCCATTTTCCTGTGCTGCCCCAGGTAGACGCCTATGTTCCTGGAGATGAGCTAGGAAGGCCGGGGTGAGGGAGCAGGAGTGTGGGGTCCAGACCTTTCTAGTCGTCCCTCTGTATGTGTGGTATCTTGGCAGCGGTTTGTCCTCTTAGTTTGTTCTGTGATCTCGCGTTGAGGCTACTGAGATTCTCTGAATGGGCTCGACATGACCCAAGAGAGACTCACCTTTACTTAAAATGATTCACTCCTCAGTTGGTTCCATTTCTTCCTGTCTCCTCTGTCCACTGCCACCCTCTGGCCATCCCCAAACAGGACTAGTTCCCAGCATTTATTGAGCACTTCCTGGTGGTGAATACTGTCCTCTGTTTTGTGGGAACTTCAGATTCTATTTCATAGCGTGAGCCATAAAAAATTTCATTTCTCTTCTCTCCCCCAAATCAGATTTGTTTGTTTGTTTGTTTTTGTTTTTCGAGACAGGGTTTCTCTACATAGCTCTGGCTGTCCTGGAACTTGCTTTGTAGACCAAGCTGGCCTAGAACTAACAGAGATCCACCTGCCTCTGCCTCCCAGGCACTGGGATTAAAGGCGTGTGCCACCACTGCCTGGCCAGAATTCATTTATTTTTCTTGAAGCATTCTTAGGCTGGTAGGAATCAATTTCAGTCCTCCTTTGGGAGGCATAGTTGTCAGAGCTGTCTAGAACACTAGGAGAAAGCCGCTGGTCTCGGGAACACAAGCATCTCTACATGTTATCTATGGCTCCTTAATGGTCACAGCTTCCATGCTTTTCTGGTGTGAGCTGAGACAATGCCCGAGTGCTGGGCATCCACTGCTCCCGCCCTGCCAGTGTCCCCCAGGTACTTCGAGAAGCAGAAGAGGTCCTTCTGAAGTTTCAGACCCCGCTCTGAGGGAAGTTCTCCAGCCTCCCTGCACTGGAGCTTCCTGGGTCTTTCCCACTCTGCTCTCTTCTCGTAGAACTGGCTTCCCTTCCAGGCCTTTAGAAAGCTGTGCTGGTTTCTCAGTCCCAGGGAGAGAAGTGTAAAATCCCCAATGCCACTCAGCTTTTTCACTTACGAAACATCTTTCTGGATTTTTGCTTGTTTTTTTTTTTGTTTGTTTGTTTTTCGAGACAGGGTTTCTCTGTGTAGCTTTGCGCCTTTCCTGGAACTCACTTGGTAGCCCAGGCTGGCCTCGAACTCACAGAGATCCGCCGGCCTCTGCCTCCCGAGTGCTGGGATTAAAGGAGTGCGCCACCACCGCCCGGCTGTTTGTTGTTTTGAGACAGGGTCTCACGTAGCCCAGGCTGCCCTCTAACGCCATATGAAACCAGGAACGACCTTGAAGTCCTGATTTTCCTGCCTCAATTCCCAGGTGACTAGGGTGCCTTTTCAAAGTTAGATGTGTTTCTCTACGCAAAGCAGTACCACATGGGGTTGTTGTTGTCCACAAACTATGTCTGGGAGACCAACGAAAGGGACCAGTAGCAGGTATTGGTCCAGCTCACCAAGCTGAGGTGGCCCTCTCTGCTGTCTGTATGCTTCCATCCCTTGTCTCTATCTCTTTCTGACCCACGTGTCTGGGGTTGGTTTCCAGGTCACTAAACAAGGACACTGGATGGATGCCTATGAAAGATCTGCCACTGTGATCCTTGGGGTAACCTCTTCAGTGCCCTCCCTGCCACTCCCCAATGTCCTCCTGATGGCCAACCTCACCTGGCCTCACGGTCCGCTTTCCACCAGGAGCGACCCTGGTGCCCCTGTCATCACTCTCAGCAGGTAAAGGCTGGAGGGCAGAGCCGGGGCTGTGGGATGATTGACAGGGGTCTGCGTACTGTGCAGGCAGGCTTCGGACAGGAAGAAAGGGCAGTCTTCATAAGCTCTGCAGAGCCGTTCAACCCCTCACTTAAGGCATGTTTGCTTAGTGTCGTTTGGCAACAAGTGTAGTGCTTCAGAGCAGGGTGCCGCACAGTTCCTGCCGCCAGCCCAGCGTCTGAGGATCTTGGCTTCACTCTATTTTTATTTTTCAGGTTTGGTGGTTTTGTTTTTGTTTTTGTTTTGAGATAGAGTCTCCCTATGTAAGCCTGGCTTGCCTGGAACTCATTATATAGACCAGGCTATCCTAGAATTCATAGAATGCCAGCCTTGGCTTCCTTGTATTTAGTCGGTGTAGATGTGGGGGATTTTCAAAGGGAAGATGGAGATTTTCTTTTTAAAGACAAGAACTAATGAAATGTTTGCTTTGTTTTTCTTTTTTCTCCTCTCTCTCTCTCTCTCTCTCTCTCTCTCTCTCTCTCTCTCTAACTTTTAGGAGTTGCTTTTCTCCCTCTACTATGTGGGTTCTGGGGATTGAATTCATGTCATTAGAGTTAACCACAAGCACCTTTATACCCTTGGGGCCATTTCACGAGCCCAAAGATGGAGATATTAAAATCAAATAGGACTATGAGATATTGAGATTGAGAAAAAGATATTGCAAATCCCAGCATGGTGAGCCCGTCTCAAAAAAGGGTGTGGGGCATTGGGAGAGATGACTCCATGGGTAAGAGACTTGCTGCTCTTCCTGAAGTCCTGAATTCAGTTCCCAGCACCTACATCAGGCAGCTTACAACCACCTATAACTCTGACACACACTTTTAACTTCCAAAGATACCTACATATATGTGGCGTTCACACACACATGCGCATGCGTGCACACACACATATGTACACATACACACACAAATAATAAATCTTAAAGAAAAGAAAGAGAGGGGGCTGGAGAGATGGCTCAGCGGTTAAAAGCACTGGCTGCTCTTCCAGAGGTCCTGAGTTCAATTCACATGGTGGCTCACAACCATCTGTAATGAGATCTGGCGCCCTCTTCTGGCCTACAGGCACACATGCAGACAGAACACTATACATAATAAAAAAAAAATCTTTAAGAAAAGAAAAGAGCCGGGCGGTGGTGGCGCACGCCTTTAATCCCAGCACTCGGGAGGCAGAGCCAGGCGGATCTCTGTGAGTTCGAGGCCAGCCTGGTCTTCAAAGCGAGTTCCAGGAAAGGCGCAAAGCTACACAGAGAAACCCTGCCTCGAAAAACCAAAAAAAAAAAAAAAGAAAAGAAAAGAAAAGAAAAACGGTAGCTCAGTTGGTAGAGTGTAGGCCTGGCACACACAAAGCTCTAGGTTTGACACCCAGCACTGCCTAAACTGAGCACCATGATACAAACTTTCATCCCAGAACTTGGGAGATGGAGATGGAAGATCAAAGGAAAGAATAGAAAAACATAAAGCCTCAATATATGCGAGACATCAACATATACGAGACATCCACCTTTCTGACTCTTCGACTCAAGGAATCAAAGATGGAGGGAAAAGCTTAGAAATGAGTTAAGAAACCTTTGTTCTAATTCCCACTTATGAAGATTTCAACTTGAGCAAACCTTGAGCTTTTTAATTTGGGTTTTGTTTTTGGAGACATGTTCTCCTGTAGTTAATGCTTGCCTCACACTGGGTAGCTGAGGGTAGCTTTAAATGCCTGTCCTCCTGCCGTAGCCTCCCAAGTGCTAGGGTGACCACTGTGCCTAGCCCGATGTGCATGTGCGTGCGAGAACGTGTGTGTGTGTGTGTGTGTGTGTGTGTGTGTGTGTGTGTGTGTGTTTGTGTGTGATGTTGGATATGTGCAAGCATGTGTGTGTTCGTGTCAGAGTGCAAGGCCAGAGGATGTGTTGGATGTCCTGCTCTGTCTTATTCTGCCATAGTCCCATGAGATGCTCTCTCACTGACGCTGTAACTCACTGGCTTGGCTGGCAGGGAGCTCTCAGGACCTACCTGTGTCAGCATCCAACCCTGAGGCTGTAGACCCATGTGACAATGCCTGACCTTTTTCCTTTTCAACGTGAGTGCTGGGGATTCAAACTCAGTCCTCATGCCCGCACAAGTACTTTTATCTACTGAGTCACCTCCCCGTTCATTCACCAAACTTCTCCAAGCTTCCATTACAAAAATCTGAAATATATAATTAATAACATTTATTTTTCCCTCATCAAAGAGTTTTATGAGAATTGAGATATTCTGCACCAATAGCACTAGTGGTGATTGATGTGGGCAGATTATTTAATTTTTTGAGCCAAAGTCGTGTAGCCTGTGTTCCTTGTTCTGTGTTGGGATCAAGTGTTGGCATTTAGGCAGACACTGCTGTGCCAGCCTTTACTAAGGAACAAAGACCCTGCACACAATCAGAGGGGAATCAGCGCCCACTCTCAGAACAGGAGCTGCCTCCTGCCAGCACCCTCCAGCAGGAGGCACCACCACTCACGTTTCCTGATTGTGCCCAGGATCCTTCCCCTGAAGTATGTGGAGCTACAAATCTATGACCGGACCCAGCGCATCCTTCGGGTGAGGACAGTGACAGAAAAGATTTACTACCTGAGGCTCCACGAGAAACATCCACAGGCTGTGTTTCAGTTCTGGATTCGCTTGGTGAAAATTTTGCAGAAAGGTCTGTCTATCACCACCAAAGACCCAAGGATCCAGTTCACTCACTGCCTGGTGCCCAAGATACCCAGCTCCTCCATTGAAACAACAGTAAGTGGGGACGCCCCCCAACATCTGCAGAGAAATAAACAGAGAAGTGTATTTCCATGTACATACTCATACACACAGGATGTTCACATAAGCAAATGGACACTTGGCCTTTCATGTATGCAGGTCCATGGATCCACTCAACACCTTGGATCAGAAATAGTCAGGGAAAAGTATTGTTCCCTTGTTCTTGTTCCCTGAACAATACAGTAGAGCAGCTGTTTGTATAGTATTGTGTTATGCGAGGCATGTGCAAAAGCTATGCCTTTTGAATAAGGGACTTGAACAGCGTGGATTTTGATATTGGATGGTGGAGCCTGGAACCAATTCCCATGGATCTTAGGGACAACCATGGATGTTACTGAATACCATGTTGTTGGTATTTTAAAAAATTATGTTCTATCATGGGCACGTCTCCTCATTTATACATCATTTCCTTACCACAGTGGGATACAACTGAATGATTCTTAATATGAGGGGTAATTTCAGTAAATCTGAACATAGTTTACATGTGTATTTATAGACTTAGTCTTTTTACATTTTTGTAAAGATAGGATCCCATGACATAGCTCGGGCTGGCGTCAAACTCAAGATCTTCCTGCCTCATCGCCCACAGCTTCCCCTCTTGTTGTGGGTAGAAGCAGGGTCTCCAGTGTGCTCGAGGCCAGACAAGTGTTCTACCTGCTCTGTCACTGAGCTACTGTCTTTTTATATTTACTTGTTATTTATTTACTTGTATAGTGTGTGTGCATCATTGTTGAGACAGGTCTTCCTCTGTTGCTTAGGCTGGTGGAATTCATGATGTAGCCCAGGTTGCTCTCATACTTTCTGCTCATCTCCTGCCTTAGCCTCCCAAGTGCTGGGATTGCAAGAACACAACACTACACTGAGCTCCCTTGAGGCAATGAGGTCTTCCTAGACCTGCCCGGTGCAGAAGCACAGGTGGAGAGCTTGGTAGATGATTGTTCCAAATGTGAGCTCTTAAAGATGAAAGCTTTTCCCGCTTTCATTAAGGTGTGTGTTTGGGTAATCCCCACTTTTAGATATCAGCTGCTCTAAGGTCCATATCTCACCCTCTGGAGAGCATCGCCTCCACAGCACATCAGAGAAGCTGTCCTGTTGCTAGAGGCCCCCATGACTGGCCCAGCAATACTGTGACTTGATGCTTACAGAACAGGTCCTTAGGCCTGCTCTGTGAAACTGAAGTCGGTCCAGCAGATTCCTTCAGGGCCCTGCCAGGAAGAGCACAGATGCCCAGTTAACAGCAGAGCCCTCTGATTTGCATTTCCCCCCCACAGCCTGAATGCAGTCTGCCATCGTCCTCCCAGGCCAGCGAGACCATAATGCTGCTGGCAGCTGAGCGGACCAGCGGCAGTCTCTTAGGACTCTCAGAAAGATACAAGCTCAAAGGAGACAGGTGGGTCCTGTGCTGTCAGCTCCAGCATCCCTCGCCCCAGTATCCCTCTCCCCAGCATCCCTCGCCCTAGCCTGGACTCATGGGGCCTATGACACCCTATGACAGCTCTGGTCCTTTGTTTTGTTTTGTTTTTCGAGACAGGGTTTCTCTGTGTAGCTTTGCGCCTCTCCTGGAACTCACTTGGTAGCCCGGGCTGGCCTCGAACTCACAGAGATCCACCTGGCTCTGCCTCCCGAGTGCTGGGATTAAAGGCGTGCGCCGCCGCCGCCGCCGCCGCCGCCGCCGCCGCCGCCGCCGCCGCCGCCATCACCACCACCACCGCCCGGCTGCTCTGGTCCTTTTTATCTAGATAGCCAGCCACACAACTTTGTCCCTAAACTTGGTTGCAAGCTTGTTTGAAAACAGGTTCTGTGGCATTCAGACATCTGGATGTTCATTCCATAGATAAACTCCATTGTTTCCAAATGGCAGATACACAATAAAAGGAATGAAAAAATGGGTGAATTAATTCCAAGAAATGTAGTTAGTAAATAAGTCAGTTAGCTACTGACTCGATAATCCCAGCTCACAAAGGCCTCTTGGCTGAGCCTCTGAATGGCCAGTGACCAAAGACTCCTCCTAGCTCCAAGTTTCAACTAATTCCCCCACAAGCAGCCACAGACTGAACCCCATGTGCAGGGCAAGTATTACTCGTATGTTGCCATCAATACATAATCTGTTTTTTAAATTTCTTTGTGATTTTTCTTCCAGTGGGAGGAGGTTTTTTTGTTGTCTCGATCTAAAAGCTGCTTCTCTGGACAATCCCTACAGAACACGGCACCCTTTTAGAAAAGAAAAGCTGGTCCTTTCAGATTGCAAAAACAGCCTCACTTTTGAAGTGAAAATGTCTGCTGCCGGATCAATTCCTTCTTGATAATTTTCAACGTGGCCCCTCTCCTTCTCCTCTGCTCTTCCCTTCCCTCCCTCATGAGCTTCCTGTCACCTGGATGGCCTCAAATTCACTATAAAGCCAAGGGTGACCTCAAACTCCTGAGCCTCCTGCCTCCACCTCCCAAGGGCTGGGGTTGGAGCCCAGGGCTTCAGGCATGGCAGTTGAAGACTATCCACTGAGCCACACCCCCATTCCTGCCTCCTTTGTTTTATTTGCTTGTTTTGTTTTACTTTACTCTATAGCTCTGAATAGACTTGAACTTGCTGTACTCCTCCTGCCTCAGCTTCCAAAAAAAAATTCCTTTCTTTGGAGCTGGAATGATGGCTCATCCGTTAAAATCACTGGCTACCCTTCCAGAGGATTCAGGCTCAATTCCCAGCACACACACGGCAACTCACAGCTGTCTGTAACTCTAGTTTCAAGGGATCCAGCACACTCTTCTGGCCTCCTCAGGCACCAGGCACACAAGTGGTGAACAGACATACATGAAAACAAAACACCCATACGCATAAAATAATAAAAATATTTCATTGTTTTTCCTAGTAGGAAGTGGGGTCATCACCTTCTCTTTCCATTTCCTAATGATTTAAGTAGATTTTTCCCCTTAGGAGCTTTCATGGGTTATTTGGCTGTTTGGAGGGTTTTTTTTTTTCTCTGTTTTGTTTTTAAGACAGGAGATGACCGTGAACTACTGACGCCCCCTGTCTCCACTTTCCAAGTACAGGATTACAGGAGTGCATTAACAGATCGATGTTTTGGATTTTTGTTCGTTGGTTTTGGTTTTGAGACAGTGTCTCACTGTTTAGCTCTTGGCTAGCTTGGGACTCACTATGTAGACCAGGTGAGCCTTGAACTCACAAAGAGCTGCTTGCCTCTGCCTCTTCAGTGCTGGGACTAAAGTCCTGCACCACCCGGCCCTGAATGGTTTGTTTCATTTGTTTTCTTTTTTCTGAGATCACATTTCACTGTGTAACTCGGGCTGGCCTCTGGCAGAGAAATATGTGCTCTTAACCACTGAATCTCTCTCCAGACTTTAAAAAAAATAGTTTAAAATGTGAGCAAATTTTTTTTTTTTAATGTGTACGGATGTTTTGCCTGTAGTGCCTGTGGGGACCAGAAGAGGACATCAGATCCCCTAGAATTGGAGTCATAGACAATAGTAAGATGCCATATAGGTGCTCTGGAAGAGTGCTCTTCACTGCTGAGCCATTGTGGAGTCTAACAATGTTTTCTTTCTTTTTCTGTTGCTTCCTATGACCTGGGACTCTCTGGACTCCCACAGACACACTGATGCTGCCACAGTAACAGACAAACCCAAGAGATGCAAGACACCCCCACTGGTGGCATCTTCAATTCATATGCCCATGAGAGCGACTTTGACCCACAGCCTCTGGGAACAAGAGGACCCAAATGAGAACTTCCTGCAGGTTCCTGTAGCCAGCTCCCTAGGAGAGAACTTTTTGGGACCTTAACACCTAGCCAGACGGGTGTCAGCCCTGTCTTCTATGCGTTTGCTCTGCCTCGTATAATGCTGCTTCCCACAGTGGGCCAAGTAACCATGGGAGAGACGAGGTGGTGCTTACGCCAGGATGCTCCTCAACTTCCACCAATAAATCTCCAATCGAGTCCTCGTTGTCGTAGGTTGTGTTGGGGGTGGGGAGATCTGGGTAGCTGGCTAAGAGCTGGCTGGAAATCGACGGTCACTCCTCAGAAAAATAAATGGGAAGGAAGCTATCGCCTGCTCAATTGAAAGCCTGAAGCATCTAAGCCAAGCCGATACATCCAGTGCAAAGGAAACGGCCCCTGGAAAGAACTCTAACTTCCGTTATCAAGGAGATAGTGTGGGACACAGAGACGGGACTTTGGTATACAGAAATCCTGAGCATGGTGGCAACCAGCTAGGAGATAACCTCATCCGTCTCAAGAAATAGAGGGTTCATCTCTCAACTCCCTGTGTTAGGGTAGAAGCCCGACCTCACGCCCTTGGCCATGAACAAGTGGGTTACTAACGGAGACGTGGCTTCTGGTAAGGGTGGTGGTGACTCCTCATCAAAGAAATTGGGACTGCCCTGACTGTTCACTCCTGGGACCTAGTGAAAGCAAGTTGGGAGATCTTGTGTCTTGCAGGTTTCTGAGCAAATATCCTTAATTGTGTAGGGGATAATCAAAACTGTTCTCACCTCCTCGACCATTAGGAATATTTACCCAGAATATACCACCATAATATCCAATAAGTGGGATATTTTAATCGCACTGTGGCACTCCAGAGGCCAATAAAGTTTACCTGGAATCAGGGGGCGGAGCCAGCGACTAGCGGACTAGAATTGACCATAGAGAAGCCAGCGGTTTGGATAGAGAAGATGCACAGGAAGGAAAGGGCGGGGACTAGGGTTGGAGCTTCCTTTTGGTTCCGGGCCGAGGGCCGAGATTCGTCTCTTGCGGTGTTACTAGCCAAAGAGCAAGGTCAGCTGGTTGCTTTTCGGCTTCTCTGATCTAACAGGTTTTCACTCCGATATCTGACTTCCAAGTCCTTGGTAAATAAAATGATAGAGACAGTGTAAACCTACATATGGCGGTCATAGCAGAGCCCGGCACGGCCTGAGTGGCGGTTGGGATGCTGAATGCAGGGCCATGGGGCCCCGCAGACAATAGTTAAAATATCAGTAGGTTCATATGCAGCTGCTAAGCCAACAGAAAAACAAGTACGTATTTAATGATACCTCTGTTTGGTGCCTTGTTTGGTGTGTGGTGTTGAGCTCATTGGAAAGGATAAGAGAGAAGGAGAAGTTTCCTGTCCTTGGAGACAGCTTGGTGCAGCTACTGGAGTCTATTTTAAAGATAAGGGAAGGCCATTAATGTTGACATGACATTTATGCCACTCAGTTCCTAAATAAAAGTTGGAGGACCTGCCTTCTTGTATCTCACATCATGTGTGATGGCAGGAGGAGGAACATGGCTGTCCCCTTCCAGGAAGGCTTGGTTAATCTGAGGAGTAAATCCTGGCAGGAATGGGTTATGCAAGATACTGAGAGGCTGTCTAGTGCCTGTGGCTTTCTTCCTCCCTCCATGGAGAACAAGCACACCAAATTTCCTTTGAACATGGTTCTAGTTAAGTTTCTTGTCAGCTTGACCCAAGCTAGAGTCACATGGGACAACAGAAGCACAAATGAGAAAATGCCTCCATCAGATTGGCCTATGATGCATTTTTTTTTTTCTCTGCGGGGCATTTTATTGATTAATGATGGGTGTGGGAGGGCCCAGCCCACCGTGGGTGGTGCCACCCTTGAGCAGGTTGTATAAGAAAGCAGGCTGAGCGAGCTGTACGGAGCAAGCCAGGAAGTAGCATTTCTCCAGAACCAAGCCTCTGCTTCCGTTCCTGCCTTGGCGTCCGTTGGTGATAGACTATAAAGTGTATAGACTGTAAAGCTGAAATAAACTCTGTTCTTCCCAAATTGCTTTTGGTCATGGCATTTATCACAGTAATACAAAGTAAGCTGGGGCAGGCATTTTTGCTACCAAATAAGCTGGGCATTGCGGGTGCTGGTGAAGACATTTAGAAGCTGAACCCAGGTGAGACTAATAATAAAGACTGACCATACTTCCCAATGTCTGCCTCTTCTAGTATCATTGTTAATATATAATATATATTTAACTCTCAAAATTGTCCTTGTGGGGATAAATCATATGGCATCCTATGTTTATAAACACTTAAAGAATGCCTGTCTTCACTTAATGTCTCACTCTGTAGCCCAGGCTATCCTTGAGCTCACAGCAATTCTCCTGTCTCCACTTCCCCAGTGCTAGGATTACAAGTATGAGCCACCACACCCAGCTTCATTCCCACTTCTATTGCCTGGGTTTATATTTCTTTCAGTTCTCACTTGACCTGTTGTGGTAATCCCATTGGTCAAACTCTAATATCACCGTAACGTAACATTAACATCATTGAATACTCACTATATGTAATTACTCGGCTATGGTTTTACAAAGATCTCTCACTCAGTCTACAGCACAACCCACTAGCAGGCAGAGATTCATTAGCACATTTTGTGAATGATGAAGTCACAGAGAGATTATTTGAGGTCACACAGGGACTAAGTAGCCGGCCTTTTAACTCAGTCTGTCTAATTCCAAAGCTTACAACATTTGTATGTATGCTTGTTTTTTTTTTTTTTTTTTTTTTTTGTTGTTTGTTTGTTTTGGTTTTTCGAAACAGGGTTCCTCTGTGTAGCTTTGTGCCTTTCCTGGAACTCACTTGGTAGCCCAGGCTGGCCTCAAACTCACAGAGATCCACCTGATTCTGCCTCCCGAGTGCTGGGATCAAAGGCGTGCGCCACCACCGCCCGGCTCCTCTGGAATCTTATGTATCCATCATACCAAGTTTCTTGTGGGCTTCTAAATTTGCATTGTTTTTAAACACAGCCTAGGCATTTCATACATGCTCACTCCATCCATGTTCATTTCCTATACCTCCCAAGATACTGATACTTACTGATGGAGCTCTCTGTGGCTAGTGTGGTCCAAAACTGCATTGGATTGTAGCATTCCTAACCATATTGTAGTTTTTTCTTCCATGTCTGTCTCCTTAGAGGAACTATGAACTCTAAGAACAGATGACATTTTAGAATCAGTTAGATACTCAAAAGAGAAGTTAACTTTCACTCAAACCAAAAGAATTCATTGGAAAGATGTGGGTTGGTTTGCAGATGTAGCTTGGTTTGTTATGGAGTTTGTGACCTCTGGGGAAAGACCATAGACTCAACCCAATTATAATTAAAAGACTTATTGGTTAGCTGCTAGCAGGATGAACAATCTCTGGGCCAAATTTGAGATTACCAAGAGAAGGGGACTGAGGGAAGAATTTGGGGGGAGTTCTCTTGTTTTTCAAGACAGGTTCCTCTGTGTATCCCTGGCTGTCCTGAACTTGCTCTGTAGACCAGGTTAGCCTTGAACTCAGAGATCTGCCTGCCTCTGCCTTCTGAGTGCTGGGATTAAAGGCGTGCACCACCACCCAGCTGAGGGAAGAAATTTTAAAGGGGAAAACCACAAGAAGACCCTCAGTATCTACATGAGTAAGCAAAACCTAGCCTGTTCTTCCAAGTTAAATGGTTAAAAGCAACTCAAAACAATCTTTGGGTATCTGTGTAAGCAAATTACAGAAGCAAAAAAGCGACAAGTAGTCGCAGCTGTACGTGTCTGGGTGGGGATCACTGAATCAGGGTAACTAAGAACTTACCTTACAGGGACTGGAGTCAGAGACAAACAGCTAGTGGGTACCTAGTGTAAAATGGAGTTTCTTTAGCCATCACGTTCCCCACCGGCTCTGGATAATATGAACCAAATCATTGGTTCACGCTTATGTAGGGCTAAAGGTTGATACCTTAATTGTGTTGAATACACACACACACACACACACACACACACACACACACACATATGTAGCCAGTTTATGAAACAAGGACCTATGGTAACATCCAGAAATAACATGAGAGGATTTTAGTCATGACATTCCCTGTGGGCTCTAGGAGAATAAGACAGGGAATTTAGTTTTAGGGCTCCTGGTATCTATAGTGTTTAATAGGTATTCTGTCCCCCAATAATAGGTCTCTCCACTGATGCAGTAAGCCAGATCAAGCCAAATTGAAAAAGTATAACAACAGGTTTATTTAAGTAAAGCAACTCCCAGGTAGGTGGGTTCTCCAGTCCCAGAGATCAAGGCTTGAGAAGCCACACCCACAAAGGAAAGCAGGGAGATTGTATAGGTTGTAGGCCGGGGTGATGATGTGTCTTCCACAAGCTGGGTGTGTGGTCAAAAGCTGAATGCTTAGGCAGGGACTTGGGTGGCTGGCAACTCCAGGGGAGGAAGCTGCAATAGTCACCAAGATTGCGGAATTGGGCTTTTGGGTACCATTTCTGTGTTGGAGATTCTCTGAGAGGGCAGGGTTTAGAGACAGACCAGAATGGGCTTCTCAGACCCTGCAGGAGTGAGCTGGAGGTTCCAACCAAACATTGACATTTACAAATGAGAATTAGGATGGATAAAGCAGCAAGACAGAGAAAAGAAGCAGTTGCTTTATCCAGGTAAAATTTGGTAACTATGAAGCAAGCCACTAAATCAGATCCTAAACCCCATCCTGAGTAACCCTTTTTGTAATTCTCAGATTTTTAACAGGTATTTGTAAGACTGAAGGAGCAGGGAGGCCAGCATGAGCTTTGGTATGCTAATAAGCACCATAGACGACCATTTGTCCTTTGACAGTGGTAGGGAAATGGTTGTTTTGATAGAGGGATCTAGTTTCCTTTGGACCTAACATTCCAGCCTTTTGTCAATGATAAGGGGTGATATCTTCTCTTCTGCAACTGCTTCTCAGATGAAATAGGACCTTGTTGTCAGGCTTGGGCCGGGAGAGGACAGGGTACATCTGCTTTGCCGTCCAGGTTTTGGTGGGCCGTCGGGCCAGCGAAGTGCAGGTAGCTTTGGAGCATCTGCAATGCTGGTCCAAAGCTGGGATTCGAGCAGCTTTCAGCAAGTCCACGTTTGCTAGTTTGGAAGCCCCACCTTTTGAGTTTTGAGGCTGGTATGTTTGGAGCAGTTTGCAATCTTTAGTTGATTGAAAATCTGCTGAGACAAATATACACTAGAAACAGAAGGTAAAGTTAAGGAGTTTATGGGAAAATCTTAACTCTATTAATGTCAAGTTCTAAACTTTTAAAATCTTAATATAACGTGTAGCAAGAGGGAAAGAAATTTGAAACATTTTTAAATTGTTTTATATACATCTTGAATCATTCTTTTAGATTTTTATGACTTGCATTTACATACCTTAAATCACTTTCTCAGATCCTCACAACTTACACTTTCATATCCTCAGATCTTTATATACTTTAAATTACTTTCTTAAACCCTCATAATTTATTTAAACTTTTATATCCTTAAACCTTTACAGCTTGCATCATAAATCATTTTTCTAGATCCTCATAACCTTTATAAATATCTTCTTTCTTTTTCTTTTCTTTTTTTCTTTTTTCTTTTCTTTTCTTTTTTTTGGGGGGGGCAGGGTTTCTCTGTGTAGCCTTGGCTGTCCTGGATCTCACTCTGTAGACCAGACTGGCCTCAAACTCTGCCTCCCTGTGCTGGGATTAAAGACCTGATCACCACCACCTGGCTATAAATTTCATTTTTTATCTAATTATTTACCATAAGACATAGGTGGTTGATCACTGAGGAGCAGTTATTGCTACCGTTAAACTCAAATAGGAGATCTGAGAAGGGTAAATTGAGCATGAAGTATAATCCAAATGGCCTCTATCAATTAAAATGACAGCGACTGACCTAGACGATCACCCTAGGCTCCTCCATGCTGGTCTCGAGGGCAGAGGCCTTTGGTCTTTCCCAGACAGTCACACAGGACAACATTAAGTCTTTCATTGCCATACAGGGTAGACTAGCCTTCAGCTTCCAGTACCAGATCTGAAAGACCTTTTTTATGTATGAAAAACTTGAGAGACTGGCCTACCTTGGTGTCACAGAGGGACAGTTAATTCTCCAGTGACCTTGTCCACAGTGTGAGCAGGGCCGGGCAGTGGGCAAGGCATGAGGCAGTTTCTGCCCAGTGGTTAGAGTTACTCTAGGTCTGTGCCCCATCGTCGTCTTTGGAGGAGAAAAGGGCTGCCTCTAGGAGGTAGCAGTTTTGTCTATCATGGGAAACTTTAAAAAAATAAACATCTTAAATGCCATATTCAGCAGAACTCTGAGGAGTTTGAGAGCTATCTTAGCTATGGTTTCTATTGCAAGCTGGAGAGGAAAGGGTTTATTTGATTTATACTTCCACACTGCAGAGGCCATGGAGGGGAGCTGCTCACTGGCTTGCTTCCCATGTCTTGCTCAGCCTGCTTTCTTATAGAACCCAGGACCACCAGCCCAGGGATGGCAGTACTCACCATGGACTGGGCCCTCCTCCACTGATCACTAATTGAGAAAGTGCCTTACAGCTGGATCCCATGGAGGCCTTTCCTCAACTGAGGCTCCTTCCTCTCTGACGACTCTAATTTATGTCAAGTTGACACACAAAACCAGCCAGAACAATGGCCAACATTTAATTTATTAAGTATATTTAATTTTAAATAAACTTTGTTTTTAGTTACTTGCTGTAGGCTTAACCCTGAAAACACACATAGAAAGCTAAATAAAGCTTGTCCCTAAAAATGAATTTCATTTGTACTTAGCATGATTACAAGCATAGTTTTGAGCACATTAAAAAATTTGATTATAAGGTAACTTGCATGTCCTAATTATCTTTAATAGTTTATAAGGCATTAACAGCTTTAATAAGATAAGGATTTTACAGTTTTATCCTTATTAAGTTTTAGCCTTAAAAATTACAATTTTTAGTGGTAGAGCACTTGCCTAACAAGCGCAAAGCCCTGGGTTTGGTCCTCAGCTCTGGAAAAAAAAAAAAAGAAGAAAAAAATTACAATGTTTTTAATTGAAACTTTTAGTATCAAAATAAAACTTTAAATCATCAATGCAGCACACAGAGAGACTGGAAATTTTATAAAAAGA